ATAATGCTTTTATCCTTTTATTTAGGGGATTTCTAACATCAAGTACTGGAAACCAGAAATGCGTGGTGGTTCACTCCATTGTAATCATGTAGTATTCTAGCCCTTTCCAGAGAGAGAATAATGAGTCAAACATAGGTAACAGTAAGGGGGGGGAATCTAAGCTACATTTCAAAACTTTAATAAAGCAAATTGTGTCATGATCCACAAATTACAAATTCATGGGGATAGCTAGGCAAGCAAGCTAGTAAAGTTGTTCAGGCTGCCATTGATCTTACTTGGTCTCCTAAAGCGGATACTTACTTGCCACAGGTCAAAAGACAAGTCTAGCCCTTTACAGGGATGCTGTGCTAATTACTGCAGGAATGCAATGGAAGTGTTTTGATTTCATTTGCATGCCTGAGATAAGCCAGCATTATCATTCTTGCATTCCAGTAGCCTCCCCTCATTTAACACTGTTGCTGTAGAATTACATCATCTGTTCCCCCAGCATGCACTAAGGCTGAACAAGAGAGTGCCTTGCACCCAACAAGGTTAATGACTGAGGTGAGTATTGAACCAGGGACTTATCATACCACTCACTAGTTAGACTCTTGGCAGTAAACTTCAACAGCTTGGTCCAGATTATCTCAAAGAGCATCTTTCCTCCATAGCAGAGGGTGAAGTGGGCTGCTTCCGATAACACTTGATGTGAGAATAGATGAAGGCACTAATTGGCTTCTAAATGGTGCAGCAACAGTTTTAAAAGTGTTGCCTTGTAGCAAGTGAGGGCACTGGAATCCGTTTCAGGTAGTAAAGTGCCTTGGACTGGCATTGCTTTTCCATTTACACCCTCCTACCCATTAAGGTGGCAGGGACGCAGGTGGCGCTGTGGGTTAAAGCCTCAGCGCCTAGGACTTGCCGATCGAAAGGTTGGCGGTTCGAATCCCCGCGGCGGGGTGCGCTCCCGTCGTTCGGTCCCAGCGCCTGCCAACCTAGCAGTTCGAAAGCACCTTCTGGTGCAAGTAGATAAATAGGGACCGCTTACCAGCGGGAAGGTAAACAGCGTTCCGTGTGCTGCGCTGGCTCGCCAGATGCAGCTTGTCACGCTGGCCACGTGACCCGGAAGTGTCTGTGGGCAGCACTGGCTCCCGGCCTATAGAGTGAGATGAGCGTACAACCCTAGAGTCTGGCAAGACTGGCCCGTACGGGCAGGGGTACCTTTACCTTTACCTTTACCCATTAAGGTCTGCTGTCTTGAGACCAAAATTGTTCCTTTATAGTAAACATTCATTGCCTTTAAAGCGGATGCTTCTTTCTGCAATCTGCATGCAATCTAGGAATGGCAGGCTGGCTGGTGCTGCCTGGGCCCAACATCCTACAGGCCACAGCCACGCATTGCTTACAGATGTATCTGTACAATGGAAACATTGGCATGTGATCAACCAGATTGTTGTGCAGCATGCCATAAGGCAGCCAGAGAACACGTGAGTCCAGAGTGCACCTGCCTAGAAGTGCCTATTGAGCAAAGGTTACATTTAACAACACTCCCAGCCTGTTTAAGCAAGTGAACCAGGAGACATCAGGAAAGAAAGAAAGAAAGAAAGAAAGAAAGAAAGAAAGAAAGAAAGAAAGAAAGAAAGAAAGAATATACCAACAATTCTAACTTGGAGAAAGTGATTTCCCCCCAGCATTTCTTAAATTAGATCACAACTACTCTAATGGAGAGCTTGATGCAAATATGAACTCTATATAGCATCTCAGAAGGGCTTCTTCACATACAGCCGATTAGAACATACAGTAACAGGATTGTTATAATGTCGTACAGGGTTTCACTAGCTCATCTAATAGCTCTACAATTATGCACAATGAACAAGCAATTCCATTGTAATTTCCCTAAGTGTTCCTATTGATGAGACAGAAAAAAGTAAACATTTCTATTTTTGATGTTTTATATCAGCCTCAACTTAGCCTCTCCATGTTAGAGCAGCTCAAGGTTGTTCAGAAGCTATTGATCTGTGGCTGCTATCCTAAGTCAACAACCCTTGTTTACACTTGGAAATCCAGGATGTTTTAGTTACTCTCCCTTGTCCAGCTCCTCTGCACTCCTTGGATGGTTGTGTTCTTGCAGAAAATTCCTCAATCCCTATATAACATTTTATAGGATATCTCAAGAGATATTCTACCTTCTAGGACTCTCTACTTTCAACTCACTTGAGCCTCTGATTAAATTCTTACCCATGTAATAAAGTACAGCATGCTCTAGAAAAAAGGTTATCTCAGGGTCACTGGTCATATAAACAAAGAAAATGAAGTCCTGGAAGTCAAATAAAGAAATGCAAAACATCTCTGTGTATATGTGGGATGGCAAATGCCCATTAACACCTACTGATCACTTTATGAATTTAAAACCTGAAATCTCAAAACAATAGTTCTCAATAGATTTACTCAATGTTTTGACTCAATGCTATGAAGAACAAATGTGCACGCTTACATTTTATTTATTTATTTAACAAAATTTATCTACCGCTTGTGAAACAAAATACATTCAGTTTTCAAAAGTTGTATCATTACTGGCGAACCAAATCCAATGTCAAATTTTCAGTCTGCTTTCCTATCAGTCTTATTTTATTTTGTTTTGTTTTGTTTTGTTTTGTTTTGTTTTGTTTTACAGTGGTACCTCGGGTTAAGTACAGTACTTAATTTGTTCCGGAGGTCCGTTCTTAACCTGAAACTGTTCTTAACCTGAAGCACCACGTTAGCTAATGGGGCCTCCCGCTGCCGCCGCGCCGCTGGAGCATGATTTCTGTTCTTATCCTGAAGCAAAGTTCTTAACCTGAAGCACTATTTCAGGGTTAGCGGAGTCTGTAACCCGAAGCGTATGTAACCTGAAGCGTATGTAACCCGAGGTACCACTGTATTTTACTTTATTTTATCAAAAACAGTACTCATGAACCCAGTTCCAAGGAACACAGAAGTTCCTTTGCCCAGTTCAGTGTTGGGAAACAGCATTAAGCAAGGGCAAGATGACAATTAAATGATGGATAGGTGGATTCTTCTAATGGCATCAATCTTTCTGGTTGCCATTCCTGCTTTGTATTCATTGAATTTCAACTACACATGTAAAGATGAGGATCAGCAGAACTTGGTTTAGGCTGCTGTTTTACCACTTCTAAGTATGTTGTTTGCATGTTTCAACTGTACTGTATTTTGATTCTTTGGAGGCTGCCCTGGCAACTTCTTAATGGTTACTAGGCAGGATGGCTATCACCGCTGTCAGAGGAAGCATCAGAATATCAGTTGCTGGAAACGAACTTGTGGGGAGAGTGCTATTATGCTCATATCCTTCATGTGGTCTTCCCATAGGCATCTGGTCAGCCACTGTGAGAACAGGATACTGGACTATGTGGGCCTTTGGCCTGGTCCAGCAGGACATTTATGTGTTCTTGTGATAAAAAAGACCATTAGGTCCAGTCGTGACCGACTCTGGGGTTGCGGTGCTCATCTCGCTTTGTTGGCTGAGGAAGCTGGCGTACAGCTTCCGGGTCATGTGGCCAGCATGACTAAGCCGCTTTTGGCGAACCAGAGCAGTGCATGGATACGCCGTTTACCTTCCCGCCGGAGCGGTACCTATTTATCTACTTGCACTTTGACGTGCTTTCGAACTGCAAGGTTGGCAGGAGCAGGGACAGAGCAATGGGAGCTCACCCCGTTGCGGGGATTCGAACCACCGACCTTCTGATCTAAAATGTATGCATGGGGGACATGCATATTTCCAAGTAATTTCTTCCACAATGTACACCTAGACCTGCATCAAATAAGTGCCAATAAGAAATAATACCCTTAGAGGAAGGAGCCTTTCTAAAGAGCACAACAGCTTTGAAGCTCAGATGTTAGGCTAAAAGTTAAGGACGGGTGGGGTGGGGTGGGGGTAGTCAGAATCATATCCTGGATTGTCTCCAGAAGAAATGAAGAAACTCAAGCTTTCAGGCCTCTGGCATTGCCATAGGAACTGACTCCTAGGGGCAAGGTCCCTTTGCCCTCCCCAATAAAATAGCCCCCCTCCCAAGTTGATGGGCATTGTCATTCAAATGGTGTGCATGTGCCACCTCTTGTGATCGATTATGCAGGGTGGGTCATGTCTGCTCCCTCTCCCAATATTGGTACCTCTGGGCATTTGCTATTGGTTGGCAACAGCAAGCAGAGGAAAAGACGGAGCATCACAAGCATATGAGAGGTGGTAAAGCCATCTGGGCAAATTCCTTGAGCTCAGCAGACAGGAATATTCTGCACCTGAAGCATCCTTGGCGGCTGGCAGTCTAAAATAGATTAGATTGATTAAAAAAAAAAAGCACAAGAGAAGCCGACAGCAGAATGCCAGAACGGAATTTAATGGAGGGGGGGAGAGAGAGATCAAAGTCGGGCGTGAGACCCAGTTGCTGTTGTTGGCATCATACCGTAATCCTCGGATGGACCACCCTCCTGGCGTTGCCAGCTAGGGAGAAAAAACACACCATAGCACGGTGCATGAGGACATATTGAAATTGCGCCTTTCTGCCGCACGGGGGCGTTGCCCCCCCCCCCCGCGTTTCCACCCAAATGCTTGGGAGTACGTGACAGCTCTCAAGTCTACAATGAACGCTTGCAAGCGGCGGGGGAGGAGGAGGGAGGACAAACAGGACTATCCCAAAAACAGGAGGAAAAAAGAAGAGCTCTCTGCACCTTACTTAGGAACCGTTCAGGACCCCGCGCTTGTGTCCTGGGCCGCTTCCCCGCTTCCTCTCTTGTCCTAGCCTCATGCACCAGCCTTTTGCCCTGGCGAGGTTCCCTTTCTCCTAGGGATGCCCTTTGTGACTTAAGTGAGTTTTGCAACAAGGTACGGTGCCTCTGCTTTTCTCCCTCTCTCTCTCCCCCCCCCCAATCCCTCATTCCTTTGCATGGTGGTCGTCCTGCTGTTGCAGCGAAGCATGGCTCCTGCTCATGTTTTAAGAGGTTTCCCCCCCCCCCCGGTTCTTCTGCATCTGCAGCCGCGAGAATCAGTGTCTGTCTGCCGGTTGCTTAAGATGTTATAATTGCTGGTTTTTATGCGGAATTTGCCATGATGACGATAATGATAAGGAGAAGATTGCTCTGAATTTGTGCCAGTCTCCATTAAGGAGGATCAGAACCCGGGACTCCCACAAACTGCCACACACGCAGCCAGTCTCGTTATGTAATCCCTGAGATCAACTGGTAACCAGGCTTGGCTATTCTTTTGAGGCAGCTATTAAATGCTTAAACCGAAAAGGAGACCCCACAGAACGCAGGAGATCTACTTCTGGTTTGATCATGGGAGGCCAGTTAAGCTGGGATCCAAAGCATGGTTTAACGGCTCTTTACTTGCAGGTAAACGTGTTTAGGGTTGGGCTGCTGAAGGCAGGGTTGCTTTGTCGTGCAGACAGACTGACGTGTCTTATGGGTGCGTGTGGGTAAACCCCGCTGGTTCCCCTGAGGACATGTGGCATAAATAGCCCTCGTTATTAAGGGAACCAGGGCAGGTCGTTCTGCTCCATATTTCCGAATGTATGATGAGCTTGTGCACCAAATTATGTTTGCATTACGGATGGGTTTCCCCCAGAGGTATCCATTGCATTTACCAGGCATCTCTTAACCTTGGCTATTGCTGGCCAGAGGTAAAAGATACTTGGCCAGGGAACAGCAGATGATATTGGTTGTAGCAAACAGGCAGGTACCAGCAGCCCTGGTACCCTGGGAACGTTTATATTCCAGTGGGGGGTGTGTGTGTCATCCTTCACTTAGGTACCTCCCACGTGCTAAATAAATGCCGGCAAGCAATGAGTTGTCATAAATGATTCTTACCACCAAACAGCATTCCAAGATGATGGAGACTGCTGAACTGTACTAGATCTTCCCCCTTAGTAAGGGGGGGGGGAGGATGTGAGATTCTGAAATTAAGGGCATCAGACATTTTCTGTGGCAGAAGGGATACCTGGGAATTGTAGCCATTGGTAGCATCAGCTCGAAATGCACATAATAGAGAACCCTTTAAAGGCAGAAGTGAAGGGCAATTGCTAGCCTGGTGCTCTGAGCCCTTGGGAGAGAAAGCAGCTGTCGTAAAAACATGTCAAACTGAGTGGCGGGCATTTAGAGAACTCCCAGAGATGTCTTCTTGATTTGCATTTTTCACACCCTACATTTCGAAAGGAAGCTGTGCTATCCATATGGGAGAGGATTTGCCAAGTTCCTTATAGTCACTGAGCAAGGCAAAGTTGTATATATCTGAGGTGGTGCCCCCCACACACACTTGTGCATCTTCCTGACTCACCTGTGTCACCCTGTGTCTCATCAATGCAGTGCTCCTGCCACGATGTCTGAAAACCATCTCCTTTCTCTCTCTCAGCTCCAGAGAGACATATTATGGCTATCAAGTTAAATATTTGTCTTGGTTTCATGGCAAGAGAAGCACGTTGTTGCCATTGTCTATATCGTACAATAAAAATATGCCACGCTGGAGCTAATCACTGATAGGACACGGAACATATTGCATTGTGATCGCCTTTCCATGTCAGATAAGTTGACTGCTGGCACTTAGTGCCCTTTAGTCAGTTCTGCAGTATTGAAGGATCAAAAACTTCCCCCTTTCAAAAGCGAAAGAGGTAGGGCTGTCAGCTGAGCAGTCAAGACGTCCCCCTTTCTCAGTTTCTCATTGGTTCCAGGAAGCCTTGTTCAAAAAGTATTTATAAGAGGGCTGGAAGGCAGTGTAAAGTAAAGGGCAACCACCATCTCGCTTCTTCTCGTGCTTTTTTCTGTTTCAGGCAGGTGAAAAGCAGAGGCATCTGCTTCCTCTTCTACATCTCTTGGATACAAATATAAGAAAGTGATCCAGCAACGTTTGGCGTGAGGCTCGGCTTAGCAGCATATAAACCACACACCAAAGAAAATCGACACAAAGAGACCTACAAATGAAGTGTGAAAATTGCACCAAAAAGGTGAGTCGGTCATTTCCTTATATATCTCTAAGGTTGCACATGTGCAGAGAAGTAGATGCCCTTGAACTGTATGTGACTTATTCCTGAGTAAATATGCCTAGTGCTGGGCTTTGCAGTTGCAATCCTGTGTATCCTTAACTTGGGGAAAGCCCCACAGAACCCAGTGAGACATATTTCCAAGTGTGCAGTCAAAGGATTCCAGCAAGTTACACAGATTACTTGGATGTAAGGGTTTTGTTTTGGATTCCTCACCTTTTGCTTTATCTAAAAAGCAAAACCTTATTACTAGGCTGCGATGAGGAGTGCTATCACGTCACCTGTCCCAACACTCAAATAAATTAAGATTCCCTTCTAAATTAAGGCAGTCCTTCTCCATACAAAGGCAGTTGGGAAAGTCACAGTATTTTTATTTTTTTTAAGTATCAATACTATTGAAAATACAGAAACAGGTATATATTGTTACAGTTGACATGTTCTAGTAAGAAACAGAGTCCATTTTTCAATTAAGTTGCTTCCCTCACAATTTCAATGAAATACATCAGTTAGTCTGTCCATTTCAGAGTTTTAAGCAATCACCCTTTTATCTGCAGGAGAAAAGGTGTTTCCAGTGTCAGTCCTGCACTATCTTAGCAGCCAGCCGTGCTGTATTATAACAAGTTTTGAACGGTATTTTAGGCTACTTCGTTACTTCTTTTGTGGCCATTTTGCTGATTCCTTCCAAATCACCTTCTTAGTTACTTTATTATCAGTTAGCTTTGACAGGGCTGAGTCCTCAGATTCCTAGATATACACTTATGTGCTGGCTTTGCATTTTGTGGCTTTGCATTTTGCCCTGGGGCCTCTCGAGAACCAAACTTGCTCACAAACAGTACCTCTGTGTATGTATGGCTTAACTTTGAAAATATGTACTGTGCACGCAGGAGCTCGATAGGGCAGCCTACTTTGCATCACCTTCCCCAGCTTGTCAAGCCACCTAAGGAGGACAAATACCCCTTTTTGGAAAGCTATGTTTAGAGTGTTTTTATCACTTAGGAATAATAACTTCTACTTTGCAGAGGGGGTAACTATATTGGTTTGTTGCAGTAAAACAAACAAAAAGGCACATTAAAGATTTGCATTTATTATGGTCTGGAGAAGATTGTCATAATAATAATTTTGCAGGCTTAAAGTACGCCAAGAGTCTTTTCCCTTTCAACACAGAATTTGTTACTATTATTATTCAGGACTGTCAACCATGGATGTCTGAGTTCTCTGCTTCTCTGTTTTCACTCATTTCCACTTTGACTTGCACCTAGACTTCTAACTAGACTGTTCTCTTTTCCTCTGTCTTTTCTCCCTTCCCTCCCCCGCCCCCACTTGACACCCTCTCTGTTGAGATTAGGGGCACAGGCTTATCTTTTTTTCTTTTCTTTTTTACTTATGTAAAGCACCCTAAATAACCACAACAATAATCAGACATGTCAACTTCTGCCTGTCGTTTGGTCTAAGCATACAATGGAACTTCAGTTGTCGAATGTAATCTGTTCCGGAAGACGGTTCGACTTCCGAAATGTTTGACAACTAAGGTGCTAAGGGAGAATGTCAATTTCAATAGTGAAAATTCAAAAACATGCCGCCGAAGCCGTTCAACTTCCGAGGCACATTCGAAAATGGAAGCAATTACTTCCGGGTATTTGGCATTCAAAAACCGAAACATTTGGCTTCCGAGACACTCGAAAACCGAGGTCCCGCTGTACTGGGAAAATGTAGCTCCCAGAAAATGAGGGTAGGCATAGAAATGTTCCATCCCATCTTGTTCTGGGCAGCTGCTTTGGTCAGTGATTTTGTTCGTTCATTCCCAACTAAAGTCTATGATTTGTTTCAGGAATGTAGTAATAAACAGAGGAATGAAGACCGGCAAAATACACCAGCTGATGTTCTCAACTCAAATGATGAAAATGAAGAGGTAACACTTTTGGTTTAATTTCTAGCAATATACCGTATTTTTCACTCTATAAGACGCACTTTTCCCCTCCTAAAAAGTAAGGGGAAATGTGTGTGCGTCTTACGGAGCGAATGCAGACAGGAGGCTCTGCTCAGCGCTCCCTTTAAAGAGCCGCATGGAGTGTGTGTGCGGCTCTTGGGGGCTTTCCCCCCAGGAGGAAGAAGGGCTGCCCTTCTCCCTCCTCGGGGAAAAGCCCCTAAGAGCTGCACACACACTCTGCACACTCTTTAAAGGGAGTGCGGCTCTTGGGGGAGCCTTAGCCGCTCGCAGTCTCTCCTAGGCAAGGGATGAGGGCTCCCCTTGCCCGGGAGAGGCTGCACGCGGCCAAGCAAGAAGCCAGGACAGCCAGCGGGATCGCTGCATCTTATAGAGCGAAAAATATGGTAATCTATATGTACATGTCTATTCAGAAGTGAGCACCCTTGGGTTCAATGGGCCTCACTCTCAGGTGTGTGAGGATAGGATTACATCCAATATCATGTTGTACCCAATCGTCTTAAACTTAGCCATGATGAGTTTTGTTGTCTTGGAGCCATTGTGGGTCCCCCCTCTTTCCTTGCACACTGCTGGTTTCTGGAAAACATTGTGTTTTTTTGGTTAGATTGTGTGTTTATTAGAGTGTGCTTTACACAGTTGAAATGTTGCAACTGTTAACATCCCAATGATGAGATGATCCATAAGGCAAATGCACATTCCAAAATGTTTAGAGGATTTACGATTAAGGTTCCGCATTTTGAGTTCCCTGAATAACACTTATGCTAGTTCGGGTTAATGGGAGTTGTAGTGCAAAACATCTGGATGGCACCAGGTTGGCAAAGGCTCACCTAAACCATCTAAGATGTCATTTCCTCAGCTCCTCACACTAAATTAATTTGGAGAGCTTCATTGACAACAGTACTTGCCATTTTAAAAATAATAATAATAATAATTGAAACATTTCTCTATGTACAAAACAATCTGTTACATAAAGGAGGAGCTGCCATTCTTATCATCACAGGGTTACAAGCTATCCTTAATGCCAGAGGTGCCTCACTTCTGTATTCTTGAGTGCCATCTGAACCCCAGGCATTTGTCTAGGGGCTAGGAGTGTATTTTGCTGAGCAACTTGCCCCCGTCCCCCAAAGTAGTCAGGCTCAGTATCTGCCACTTAGCTGTAAGGGCTTCACAGGTGTAGAGATATCTGCACTTGGGCATATAATGGTATTACTGACAAATACAAGAGCTATATAAAAATGCTAAGTATGGCTGCCTTGTATCTCTTGAAAATAGTATTATTTTACTTACGGGTAATATGCTTGAGTGTGATGTGGAGATTCAAACCCCCACTTAGCCACAAAGCTTACTGAGTTATTTTGGACTGATCACTGTGTCTAGGCCTAAACTACCTCACAGGGTTGTTGTGAAGGTTAAAGAGAAGAAAGAAACACAAATACTTGAATTACAGGGCAGGGCAGAGGGGGCTCTGCCTTCTTCCTTTTTGTCACGGCCCCATAGCAACTATTTTCAGAAAACTTATGCGGAAGCCATGACTGATGGTGAGGACTGGAGTGTCAAGAAGATTTCATTGTGGGCTCCTCTACCTTTTCTACCACAATTCAAGCAGCACCTCTAAGCTGCTACATATGTTGGCAAAGCCTTCCTTACCATTTTGAGAATAATTAAGCTAGCTCCGTCTTTGACTTGCTGCTGTTTTTCCTTTTCAGAAAAGTGAATTCCATAAGTTGGCTAATGCTAAAATATTCCTTAGCGATTGCTTAGCTTGTGACAACTGCATAACATCTGATGAAGCAGTCCGAGTGTTCCAGCAGAATCAGAAAGAGCTCTTCCATGTACTGAACCTCAATAAGGTAAAAGGAATGGTGCTTGCAGGTACATGCGCATGAAGAAAACATGCTATCTTAACATGGAAGATTGAAACAATTGCTTGTTCCCATGAATCCCCCTTCCTGTTCCCAAGTTCTCTTGCTCCATGTCTTCTGCCTTTATTTCCAGACATTTTAATCCTCTGGGTTCTTTATTCCCAACTTTAAAGCTCTTCTCACGTCTTCTCTACTTAACAGCCTCTCCTTTTACCTATTTACGAAACATCTCCTGCCTGTCTTCTCCTGTTTTAGTCCTAAAAAAAAAAAATTTGTTCCCAACTAGATCACCGACTTCCTTTTTAAGCCTTAGAAATAGTATAATCCCTTCGTTTCCCCAGGCACACGGTCTGGGTGGCATTTTTCATTCTCTCCTTTTTCCTACCACAGATCCAGTTTGTTGCTCAGTCTCATTGGCTTCCATTTTTAACCATCCCAGCACCCACCTTTGTCTCTGACTGCTACAGTTCTTGTGAATTCTCTATTTCTCGTCTGGGTTATTGGGACATTATTGGGATTATTGGTCTCAACCGTCTCTGATCTGAGATCTTTGGCTTCCATCATAAGTTCTGATGCCTTCCTGGTTTTTATTGTTCACTTCCTTCTCCTTTCTTCAGGTCTTGACACTGATTCCCCTCCTGGCATTCGGTTGCAGATAACTTCATATCCAGATATTTTCACTAATTGCTCCACCCAGTGCTTTTTTCCCTAGAAAAAGTGGTGCCGGAACTCACCATGAACACCGTCCTCATTCTCTTAGAATGGCAATAGCACCACCTGAGAGGTGCCGGAACTGAGTTCCTGTGAGTTCTATCCTCTTCCTTCTTCTGGCAATCTTCTTCTGAAACTGAGTGGACAGTATTCTGTGCTCTTCTTGTGTTAGTGCAAGGACTTTGGGTTGCATAGTGGAACTTGCCCTCCCTCTCCTTGCCCTGTCCCCGCCCCCCGCTACATCCCCTACATCTGTTCTAGATGTTCCCTCAATCCTTTGGAGCAGATTTGGTGAGGGTGCATGCAGGGAGAGGAGGGGAACGTAGAAATACTTGTGCTAATTGATTACGGAACAAGTGTATTAGATATTGCCCGATATTCACCACCACCACCTCCACTCCCTGCATTTTTGCTTTGACTGCTCTTTAACTTTGGTACTTGTTCCTTTCTGACATCCAGACAGCTCTCCCTTGGTTATCATTTTTAAAAGGCCTATTCTCCTTCTCCATCTTCTCTGCTTGATCTTCTTTTTCTCCTTTTCTCTCCACGATCTCCTATTGTTTCTTATCCTTAAATGAAAGTCTGTGGCAGGGATTGCTTCATATCTTAGGCTTTGTAGGTGTATGCTTCAGATACTCTAAGTGTATACCTAAAAATAACAAATGTGTATACTTGAAAATATATGAACTATGCAAACAAAACCAACACATTTTGCAGGTGTCATACAGGTGCAGTATTGACTGCGCCTTTCAATTAAATGTACCCAAAAAATGCTATCATTTTAAAAATGATAATAATAATGAAGAATTAAATGCCCTATATATTTTGAACAGACTGCAAACTTCAGGAGATTTTCTTATTCAGTTAAGACATGTGACAGATTAGATCCCTCCCTTTATTAAAAGCTCTGTTCTATGTAAGAGGGCAGCAATTTTTTAAGAGATTCCTGAGACAGCACTTGTGACTTCTGTTCTCTGGCTGGTATTCTTTTCTGCTGCAGCAATAGCCCTCTTTATTTTAGTGTGATTTCATTTCCTAACGAGTTGTCTAGCTGTTTGCCTTTAGCTCTCTTAAGGTCAGAAGACAGAGGGTGCTTCCAGACAGGTGTTTATTATGGGATTAGTGCTGCTCATGCGTGCAAGGTTTTCGCAGCATCCGCATGATGATGTTGGCATCAAAATGCTAGCCAAGATTCTTCACTCCAAAGAGTAACATATCAGAGAGAAAGAGGGCAACATCAGTTCCATCACCAGACCACTGCACTGTGTCTCCTCAGCCTTGTGAACATGACTGCTGTGTGCCCATTTCAGGTTTTAAGGCAAAGGGAGAGAGTCAGTTCTGAAGGGGTCCTTCAGCAAAGTAGCCTCTTCTAGGCCACCCTTCTACTTTGGTGGGCCTCTGGCTGCAGGCTTAACTGGTGGTGGTAGGAGCAGTAGCAACAGCAGACCTTCCAAGTGTCCCTTTCCCCCCAGGGATGTCTCTGATTTAGAGAAGCCGGTGCTGTTTCTGATTTGATCCCGGAATGTCCTGCTTTTCCTTAGGATTTCCCTATTTTCATTGGATAAATATTGGAGGGTATGGAGTTATCCAACCCCCAAGCTGTCTGAAGGGAATCCAGTATAGCAGTGGTTATCAACCAGTGTGCAGTCGCACCCTGGAGAGCCTTGAATGATGGTTAGGGGTGCCACTAGCCTCTGTCCCTCTTTCTTTCCCTCCCTCCTCTAATGTCCTCTCATGTCTCTGCCTCGCAAAAACTTGTGTAGCTGTTTGTTGTAGCAGCCCTGCTGCCGTCACTGCTGCCTCCCAAGGTAAGGTCTCACATTCACCTTTGGTAAGGCTAGGGGCATCCTCTGCCCAGATCCCTGTGGGGCAGCGTGAGGAGGTACCTGTTGTTGAGGTGGGGTGGGGAGCTCAGAGATCAGGGGCGGCAGCAGCAGCTGCCCAGAGGACTCCCAAGGAGAGGGGAGAGGAGAGAGGAGAAGAGGCTGAGGGAATACTCCGCAAGGGAGGGTGTTCGAAAAAGGGCGAGAGGCTGCCAGCTCTGCAGGCAAGGGGTGACATAACTGGGTTCCTGAGCCCCACAGGGGTGCCGCAGAAAGAATGCAGTTGGTCAAGCGAGCTGTGGATTCAAAAAGGTTGAAAATCTCTGCGTATAGGGAAGTTGTTTTTTTTAAAAAAAAAGTTTAATGTTTTATAATGTTTTTATATGTGTTGGAAGCTGCCCAGAGTGGCTGGGGCAACTCAATAAAATGTGCAGGATATAAATAGTAAAATTATCGTTATGGAATGGGACGTCCCTATTTTCATGGGAGAAATGTTGGAGGGTATACAACAGTGAGGCTTACCTGGTGGTAGCTGGCCATTTGAATTTACCTACAGTGCCTCCAATATAGCAGTGCTCCAGAGGCACCATGGAAAATCAAAATATCAGCCCACAGTGGGGATCCGCCATTTGAATCTCACCCAGTACGCCAAAGCAACATTCTATTAGGGGCATTATGGGAAATGAAAATGGCCGCTCACTGCTACCACCAGCAGGCTGGGAGAGAGATAGAAAGGAGACCAGTTGCTACTGTAACATTTGCACTGTTTCCTTGTGTGAAGAAACAATTTGCTATATTGTAGTAATTGCCAGTTAAGGTGTTCTTCCTTTTTTCTCCCCTTTCCTTAATATTGGAGGTGGGCGAAAGCAGTGCTTCTTCAGCACAGTACTCTATTTCCCACAAAGCAGGGTGGGGGCAGGAGAGGGAGACGTGAGATGGAAAATTGCCCACTTCCTTGAAAGCTTTTTTTGAAAAGCTGGATTAACCTGTGTCAGAGAGCAACTAATACAATGCAAGGAAGTCATCTGATGCAAAAACTATATCCTGAACTGTTGCTGTAATGCACCTGTATGTTTTGTTGTGTATTGTTTTCCAGAAATGTGATACCTCAAAACACAAAGTGTTGGCAGTGTCTATATGTCCTCAGTCCTTGCCTTATTTTGCTGCAAAATTCAGTCTCACTGTTACCGAAGCAGCCCAGAGGCTATGTGGTTTCCTCAAAAGTCTTGGTAGGTTTGTTATGGTTAAAAAGGGGGGGGGAGCCAAACACAGCGTTTTTCATTTATTTGTGCATTTTGCTTCCTTGGCAAACTTTTACAGCATGTGTCAGCTTGGTAAAATATAGGATTGTGAAACAATTGAGCAAGGGATTCATGGATGGGTGTGTGACCTGAGTCATTAACACATTGTGATATAACAGGGCACTTAGGAGAGTGAGGAAAGGGTGAGAACAGAACATAGCAAGTTTTTTGTGGGTATCGCTTATAAACAGGGAATGTAAAAGTGTGCTATGCTGCAACTGAGCGAGGGATGTGGAAGGAAGCTATCTCTAGTGTGGAATTTAGAATCCTCACGAGATCTCTGCGGAGATCATCAACTAGTGCAGGGATGTACATTCAAGAACACAGGAAGCCGCCTTATATTGGGACAGACTATTGGTCCATCTAGTTCAGTATTTGGTTGCAGTTCTATAAAGGGTTCCAGACAGGAGACATTGCCAGTCATGCCTGGCGATGCCAAAGATTGAACCTGGGACCTTCTGTGTGCAAAGCAAGTCATCTACCATTAAGCTATGGCTCTTCTCCTAGAGGGAGAAAGATCGGGGTGGTATCTGCTGCCTCCACCCAACCACCTCATCAAACTTCCCTCACTTCAAGGAGACATCTGCAAGGGGGTATGCATTTGTGTGAGGTGCACAGTCCTCCTCTGCTGCTGTGTTCTAGTTCTCCAGCACTGGTGCTTCAAACACCAGAAGGAGAGGGATTCCAGAGGTCAGGAATGAGCTTCTGCCTCTCATGCACCTTTGTGTTCTTGTGCCTGATTCCCATGTCCCTTCAGCACTTAAGGACCAGATCTCAGTAGCAGAGCAAGTGCTCTGTGTGCAGAAGGTCCCAGGTTCAGTGCCTTGCATCTCTGGTTGAATAGGTTCTCAGACCACAAATTATGGGAAAGAGCTATAACTCTTTATTTTTAAATATGATAAAAAGGCTGGAGAACGTATGGAATTTATGCAAGGAAACAACATATCTAATTCAAAACGAATTGTTTTTTTAAATAGTAACATGTTCTGAAAATTAATCTGGTGATGTTTTATTGCTTGCCTTTCTTACCCGTTTTCCTCTAGGAGTGCATTATGTCTTTGACACTACAATAGCTGCTGATTTTAGTATTCTGGAGAGCCAGAAGGAGTTTGTGCAACGGTACCGCCATCAGAACCAAGAAGAGCACGCCATACCCATGTTTGCTTCAGCTTGCCCAGGTGAGAAAGGCAGTCTTAGGCACATTGTTAAGTGTTACAGAGCAGTGAATCCACCATCTGTCCCTAACCCTGTCAGGTTGAACTGGCCAGAGCAGAAGATGGCCATGTTTGTTGGACAGGATGGGAGTTCTTCCTTCTTTTTCACTATGCAGCTGCTCCACCTCCAGGATAACTCATTTGAGGCCTTTTTGCTTCTGCTGTTGACCTGAAAAACACCACCACCACTATTACTATTATTGACATTTGTGTCCCAGCCTAGTTCACGTTCCCATTTCATTTTCACAACAAACTTGTGAGGTAGGTGAGGCTGAGTGTAAGTGACTGGCCCAAGATCACCCAGTGAGTTTCATGGCTGAGTGGGGATTTGAACCCTGCTCTCTGAGATCCTAGTCTGATACGCTGACCTGTCCTCCAGCCAGGTGCTCAGCCAGCCATTGGTAGCATTCTGCCAGCCAGAATGCTCCTGGGGTCTCCACTATGGCAGAGCCCACTGGCTAGATCTCCATGTTAACTTGTGCCCACTTCCAGTCATCAACATGGGGCTGAGCTCTTTTCAAGGGGTCACAGTTCAGATGGATGTTGTTTGGCTCATTTAGGCAAGCAGAAGACACTGAGGTCTTGAAGCTTCGTTTCTGCTTTTTTGAATCTACTGCCTTCTGTGTTCTGGGTCCCTGGATTATACTGTGGCCAAGAAAATCCCCTGCCTTTCCATTACGAAGCATGGGGCCAGTTTCACTTCTGCAGCCAGGTGGTATGCAGCCCCAAACTCGTGGCTGATAGAAAGTCTTGTGCTGCTGCTCCACTTTGCTTACGGTGCAATATATATCTCACCATCACCCCCACCCAAAAGCATATCTATTACTTGCATGTGTTGGTTTTACTGCAAGACAATCAGGGAGCATGACTATGTGTTCTGGTTCCCTGTCATCTTCCTAGGGCCTTCTTTTTTAAAAAATAAAAATAAAAATCTAAATTAGAAAGAGTAGCACGATCTTGTCAACCCCCGATCAACACATATATAGCATATCTGCGATGTTGACATTGTCTCCTTGATTGCCTTGGCAGCTCAACAAACAAATGTGCCATTATACAACACCGTAATAAAGACATCATTTTGTAAACACGCCAGAAATCTAGTTCATCTGGAAGGAGGTTTGCATGTTAAAATGTTCCTTAATTCCATCCGGGTCTCACTCTCCAGATGCAGATGAAATGTACTAATTTTCAGCAACATATATTTGCCTGTCATGCCACAGGAAGCACCACACAGAAGGAAATACATTGACTCTAGAGTAAGTGGATCTACTCCACTCTAGGTATATTTTGAAATAAGGGGGAACAGATAAAGGAATGAACGGCAAAGGCTGTAAATTACATCCTAATTTGCAGATCTGTCTGTGCATATATTTTTTCTTTTATGGTTCTGCATTAAGTTGCAGCTGGTGAGTGAAAGACCACTTGCCTACTTTGGGGCAGGTAAAAGGCAGTGTTTCAAGCACTGCTGAGAAATCCTGGTCTTTTGAACAGGACCTATGCAGAAACAGCAAGTGAGTGATTGCCTGGAATAGTCAAAGCTTTATCATCCACATCACAAAAAGAAGTGGGTGATTCCTAAAAATCTGAGTGTCTTTGGGGGAAGATCCCACCCCTGCATGCATAGTACTGCTGTCATTATTGTTAAGAATCCCTCTGAGTTAGTTAATATTTCCTTGTTGCACAAAAACTGAGGTCACATCCACACCATGCAGAGCGCTTCTATGCCATTCCAGCAGTCATGGCTTCCCCCCAAAAATCCTGGGAACTGTACAGTGGTACTTCGGGTTAAGTACTTAATTCGTTCTGGAGGTCTGTTCTTAACCTGAAACTGTTCTTAACCTGAAGCACCACTTTAGCTAATGGGGCCTCCTGCTGCCGCCGCGCCACCGGAGCACGATTTCTGTTCTCATCCTGAAGCAAAGTTCTTAACCCGAGGTACTGTTTCTGGGTCAGAGGAGTCTGTAACATAAAGCGTATGTAACCTGAAGCGTATGTAACCCGAGGTACCACAGTAGTTTGTTGAGGATGCTGATAGTTGTTCAGAGACCTCTACAGAGCTGTATTTCCCAGCACCCTTAAGAAACTGCAGTTCCCAATAATCTTTGGGCAAAGCCATGACTCTTAAAGAGGTATAACAGTGCTTTGAATGAATGGATTGTGGTCTTAGATTGCGACTTCCGTGCTGAATCTCCCCTCTCCTCTTTCACTCCCAGTTTGTCTGTGTGTGACTGTGCCTAGAGCAGCAGTGTGGGGCTATGGGCAAAAGCAGGAGGGCTCTGCTTCTAGCAAGTCCTCTGTACTCCAGCTTCCCTGCAACTGGATTTTCAAGTTCAGCTCTTTAGTCAATGACTGTGCAGAAAGGGCCTAGGCTAGGCGTTTGTGTGGGGAGCAGATAAAAGTCTCCTGGGGCCCGTGGCTCATGCTCCAAGTCTATTTGCATATCTAAACAATGACTAAGGCAGACTGCGAGGCTGGAGTTAATTGACTGAACTCTGTCTGTTTTTCTTCCTGAAAAATAGATACGTGGAGGTCAACCAACCTATGAAATGACTCACGCTATAATCAGGAAAGCTTAGCTTTGGCTCATTAAACTCCACCAAGGTTTGTTAGATTATAACACACGTTATAATAAGGCACAGAGGGTTATTTAAAGGAAAAAGAAAGAACCCAGCTTCATTGGCACAGTACCAAGATGAGTCGTGCTGCAAATGGCAGGACCTGATAGTGCATTGATGGAGACCTGTGGTCTAAAATGACACCAGCCAGAAAACAATTGTCTGAATGCATCTCACCCTTGTTCGGGGTTTCTGTGCGTCTTAACATACAGCTATATATCCGGACATGTCAGAGGTCAAGGAATTCATTTGCCTGTAGATATGGGAGGCTGCAGCCGAAAAGGACTAGGATGAGGGATAAGGAAAGCTGAGTGTGGTGTTCAGATAAGCTGCTGCTGACTGTTAATCGTAGCTTTCACAGCAGCCATCTCTGACCTGGTCTCCTCCTGATGTTCTGGATTTCAGTTCCCATCAGATCCAGCCAGTGCTGTCACATGAGGGGGATGGCTCCACTGGTGGATAGATTCTCCCTTCCACAAAATATTAATGTTCAATAATCCAGCAGTGAACAGGTTTCAGCTGCCATGTTAGCCTTGACATGAGTTCCCCAGAAGTTAAGCCATTCTGGAGCTGGATGGGAGGTGGCTGCACCATAGAAACACAGCTGAAACCACTCAGTGCTTGAGCGCCACTTTTTAAAGGTGCAAAATTGTTTGCTTTTTAAAGGAGACCCTGGGCAGTTACCATGGTGGGTCCTTCTGGGGCACTGGAGCCCCATCATCTGCCTGACCCTACTTTGCTGTGTTCTGGGAATAGGAGATGCCACCATTAATGAGACAACCAAACCTGCACTCTCTGTTCCATCATGGTGTCCTGCGGCAATGGCAGCACCAGACTGCAGAGAGACAAGATAGGAAAATGTTTTGGTTTTTTTAAAAAAAGTAATTATTAGAAGTTTGAAGATTACAGAAAAAAGAAAAAAGAAACAATGAAAAATTAAACAAAACAAAGCAATACCTTACAATACATTTAAAAAAAAGAATACAACAAAACAACAACACAAAAACATTTAAAAACACATCCAATATTTCCATATCTTTATCTTTCATTTACCTATTTCATCGACCTCCTCACACCTCCCTTTTTTGTATTCTAGTTCAATTAGCTATTTCAGCAAATCCTTTCCATCTTTCTCAATTTTTGTTCTATAATTTATCTTAACACAATCTAACCTTAAATTTTCCACTTTGGCCCGTTAACAATCTATTTTTACTTAATTCTTTATAACATTTCTGCTAAAGCCATATAGCTTCATTCCAGCATCCTTCTAACATTCATTAATTTTGCAATATTTCTGTAAATATACTTTAATTTTTTCCAATCTTCTTCCACCGACTCTTCTCCCTGGTCTCGGATTCTGCCAGTCATTTCCGCCAATTCCATGTAGTCCATCAGCTTCATCTGCCATTCTTCCCGAGTGGGTAGATCTTGTGTCTTCCAGTGTTTTGCGATAAGTATTCTTGCTGCTGTTGTAGCATGCATAAAGAAAATTCTATCCTTCTTTGGCACCAATTGGCCAACCATGCATAGGAGAAAGGTCTCTGGTTTCTTCAGGAAGGTATATTTAAATACCAAGATAGGAAAATGTTAGCCTGGCTCTTGTGCAATAGGGACAAATGCTTTCCACCCACTATTCAGATGGAGAGCAATGCAGCTGACAGATCTGATTGGCTATGCCATGCTGTTGCATCATGTTCACTATGTGGTCCCTGATTATGTGGGATCTTGCAGTGAAGGGATCTTTGGTACCTAAGAATTGGTACCAAAGGAGCAGTGGATCAAATCTATAAACAGGCATGGGGGAAAATGTGAAAGTTCACATTTCTGGGGGACTTGCCACTCCTCTTGTAAACAATTTTTTCACTTCAAAGTGTTTGCAGATAAAATTCAGCACAGCCCTAATCCTGTCACTCTGTGGCCACTGAGGACAAAAGGCCATTGGGGGCCAGGAAAGACCATGTAGTTTACACATCTTCCAGAAGCAGGTGGGGTACAAGGGCAGTGGCTGGGGAACTTAAGAGGAGGAACTAGAGGACTGCTGCCACCGCCCCCAAGTATCTGCTGCTGATGCTTTTGACTCACTTTGTCCAGTGGTGGAGCAAAACATAACAGCTCTTTTGCTTGGGATGTACTCCAAGAATAGCTGGTACAGTCCACAGCTCACCCCAGTAATGTACAGTGGTACTTCTGGTTATGAACGCTTCCGCTTACAAACGCTTCTGGTTACGAACTCTGCTAACCCAGAAGTAGCTGCTCCTGGTTGTGAACTTTGCCCCAGGATGCGAACGGAAAAAGCACGCCAGAGGCCCCATTAGCGAAAGTGCACCTCAGGATAAGAACGGTTTCAGCTTAAGAACAGACCTCTGGAATGAATTAAGTTCGTAACCAGAAGTACCATTGTACCTCAATAAGCATTCACGATTGATTTGGGGGTAGGATGCATACCTCATTTCCCCCCACAATAGTCCTCACAAAATATGAGCAGACAAAGGCTCGGATCCAGGGACACCTTGCTTATGTAGGAAAGCACTTCTGCCCTTTCACCTTTTTTTTTTGTCCCCAAGGTTCAAATTGGGCAAACCGGATGCACTTAACACTGTACTTCAAACGTTGACATTTGTACATGTTTTTATATACTGAGGTTCTATCAATGGGTGGGTGGGGAGTGAGATTTGAAGTCCTTCTTAAAAGTGAACAAGGCTATGTAATGACATTGACGATAAAAAGTTATGGAAAGCAAAAAAGATTACATTCCACGAACCTCATTATCAGGTCAGCATAATAAAGTGAGTCAAGTGAGGAATGTTCTAAAGCACTGGCTGAATGTTTAGTGAATAAAGGAGCTCATGTTATCATTCCTCCATTTTTCATTATTTATCCTGCTTTGACTGGTGAAGTTTCTGCTATAATTCTCAACCTTTCCTTCTTTTGGTTCTGCTCCCTTAATTCTAGGCTGGATCCAGTATGCCGAGAGAGTCCTCTCCAGTCTAGTGACGCCACACATTTGTACTGCAAAGTCACCACAGCAGATCATGGGCTCCCTGGTCAAAGGTTATTTTGCCAGGCAGCAGGTAACTTAACTATTCCTGGTATTCTCTGGACTGATAGGTGTGGCATTGCATGTGTTGTGTGACGGGTGTCACAGCTTCAGCAGCCGGCTCCTCCAGAGTGCTTGGCCTCCTCCAAACTGTGCAACATACTCCAGGCCCCCTCAATCTTGGGGGCCTCCTGGCGCCTCTGGTTGTGGCACCCACACTATGTTCTCTGAACTAGACCTCTGTTGATGAGCAGGTGAGAACCTTATAGGAGAAGGTGTTGTTAGTTCCTGTTTTGCCACTGAGCAGCTGCTTGGAGTCACAGGACTCTGTTTACATTCCTGGGATTCCATACTATTGGAAGTCTCACAGGAAGGGAGACGGGATGTGACGTTAGTGGTTCCCTGTTTCCTTTGTTGCTTTGTTCCTTTGTTCAGTTGCTCTCTGCTTCCATAGAGAGAGGATGTGTTTTCTGTCTGCGTAGCTTGGAAATAAAACTCTTTGCAATGTAGCCCAAACCTCTTGTCTCTTTCCTGTGCTGGAAACTCTGCTGACTCGGGGAACGTGCCTTGGAGCCTCATCAAAGGCTCAGGTCGTTAAACGCATCGGGAGGCGATTCCAAAGGCTCGGCTCAGAGGAAGATGTGGCTTTATCAGCTAGGCCGAGCGGAGATTCCGACAGGTGTTCCCCCAGGCATCCCAGACCATGTGTGGCCTTCAAGCTCAAAACCAGCACCATGGATTTAGCCTGCAAACTGACTGGAAAAGCAAAGGAACTGACATAAAACTGGGTTATAAGTGTCCTATGAGCGACCTTAGGCAAAAGCTGTGCCACCGCATTCCGGATCAGCTGACTTTTCTAGAGGTGCTTTGATATAGAGTTTTGCCAGTTTCACTTCCACTAGCAAAAGCAGGCTTTTTTATTTTAAAAAAATCCAATTTGAGGAAGTTGTGCTCTGAAGTGTTAATCTGTGAAATGCATGGGATATTTGTTTGACTGGTTGTTTTTTTTAAAGCAATGTTGCACTTCTAAGAAAAAGATAGAATGACCTTTGGTTAACCTACAAAATAAGGAAAAGGAGAGTGTGTTAATAATCCTCATCAGTTATATCACTGAGGCCACAGATACAAAAACCAAATATCTATACCAAGATGGCTCAGATTCTGTACTAAGAAGTCAGCAAGCAACTTGTGACATACCACTGTACATTCACACAGCCCTGCTATAGGTGCCTGTGATACCCCCTTAACCAGTTGAAACATGGCTATGGCAAGAGTCTCAGATAAGTTAGCGAGGAGGCAGAATTGCATTTTTCCACTGATAAATTGTTTTATTAATGGGAGCATGTGATTTCTCCACTACAGATATGCTGGTTGAGAGAAAAGACAGTTGTCGTACTCCTATAGCAGCTGAGTAACAGCTGTATGAGGAAACAGTACTCTGGGAAGGCACACAAAGTTCCAATCTAATATGTCCAAACTGTGTGAATAGCATCCTGGAAAGGTGTTTTTAATCCAGTGTGTCCCCAAATGCTTTTTGCTTTTCTTTCAATATGTTTGTTTTCTTCATCCATCAGAATCTGTCCCCTGATAAAATTTTCCACATAATTGTGGCACCTTGCTATGACAAGAAGCTAGAAGCCTTGCGAGAAGATTTCCACACCCCTCTGTACAATTCTCAAGATGTTGATTGTGTTTTGACGTCAGGTAGGCATCTTCCATCCAACATGCTCCTGTTGCTATTTTATTCAGTTTTTCCCCCTCTCTTTTTTTTTTTTACACAGGCAATGAAATTAAAACCAAACATAGCAACAGAGCCACCTCCACAGCTGGAGCAGGGTGTTTGGGGAGGGAGCTGAGAGGCACCAGGGGAAATATGGGGAGGAATGCCCCTGTTGTGGAAAAAATGTGGTAGGTCTTTGTAGAAAACGAGATGCTGGACTAGATGGGCTTTTGGTCAGATCCAGTTGAGTTCTTCTTATGTCCTTAGCTAATATATCAGAGCAGATCTAGAATGTCTGGAGTGTCACATTTACTGCCTCTAGAAAACTGATTCTCCCCCACATTCCTGGTTGTATCTCTGTGGGCTTAAGCATCAACTTAATTTCCCCTCTACAGGTGAAGTGTTCCAGATAATGGAGCAGAGCAAAGTATCTTTGAGAGAAATAGCTGAGGTGGCCTTTGATACCCTGTAAGTAGCATTTGTGAGATGCTTTTGTTTTGCTGAAAACATCTTTACACTAGGTTAAATATATATGCATACATAAAATCATGACCACTTATCACATTTTTTGACAGGCTATAATTTTGTGATCTTGGAAGGACACATGGCAAAGTGGTTTTCTTCAGCCTGTTATTGTAAAAAGGCTGTGTATCCGCAGAGCCAGCTCCAGGGGTTTTTTTTGTGGCCCTGGTCACGTTGACTTGGGTGACTGTGTCTCCCACCGCCAACCACCCCCTGTCATTTGGGCTGCCCACCTACAGTGCTGCAGCAATTCTATTCCCTCTCTGTGGTTTAGTAATATACTTAAATGGTTTTAGTTCTTGGCTGGTAACCACTAGAGCACAGATATACACCCATTAAGCTCTGTTGCGGGATCTCCATTTCTTCAAGGTGAGCCTGCTCTTCACCTTTTTGCTTTCCTCCCTTATTTTATGAGGTTTGATGGGGTAAAGGAGGCCGAGTTAATCCGTCATGATGGAAGGAAGTCTGATGGTTACCTGGAGCACATATTTAAATATGCTGCCAAGGAACTCTTTGATACCGAAGTGAAGGATGTCGTATACAAAGCGTTAAAGTAAGTTGCACATCTGAATTAAGTTTATCAGAAAAGCTGATTCAGAAAATGGGTACATTTGGCCTCTTCACATGTTGCATTGCAGCAAAGGTAGCTTTTTACCACTTTTACACACAGCAGAAAATGATGGCCTGTCCTGGTGCGTGGACCACTAAGGGTGTATCACATGTCAGGTGAAGACCTATTTAACCCAGGCATTTTAAATGGTGATGATCATATAGATATACATGCACACATAGTATTTAACATTTATATATACTGTTGAACCAATGGTGTCAGCTATTAGTGGGCAACCCTGTTATCAAGGGCACTGCAGTCCAATTGTGGCTATGCTTCAGGCTGGAAAAAGGGGACCTTTCCCCCAGATAAAATGTATTCCTGACCATCAGGGCCAGACGCAGCAATGTGAAGTCCACCCTTTTCATCCACGTACCTGCGGCGACCCCCCTCCCTGTGTGGAAGACCCAGCCAAGAATTTCCAGTTGTCCCCCAAACTAATGCTGCAGACAGTAGCATTGAGCATCTTCTCTGTGTGTCTTTTCAGAAACAAAGACTTCCAGGAGGTCACATTGGAAAAGGATGGCGAGACGGTGCTACGCTTTGCAGCTGCGTATGGCTTTCGAAACATTCAGAATATGGTCCTGAAGTTGAAAAAGGGAAAGTGCTCCTACCACTTCATAGAAGTTTTGGCCTGTCCTGGAGGTAACAACAAATCTTAAGACATTACCGCCCCCCCACATACCGGCAGGTGTACAGTGTACAATTGACAGGTTAAGGTTCTAGCTTCTGTCCTTTGTTGGTTTTGGATGGATTGCAGGTTTTTCAAAGACCCTGCTCAAAGTCAAAATGCTGCATTATATCTTCAGCTGGGACCTGTAATCAAGTGTTGCAGTGTGGAGTGTTCCTGTCCAGCCAGCCAGCTGAACCCTTTCTCGAGATACTCCAATGTCCCCCTCTCCAATTCTTAATATTCTATAGTCACTGAGCATACTCAGTCCTGGTTGGACTCTTTGCAGCTTTGTTTTGTTTTTTGCACCCTTGGGGTTTCCTCCCCCCTAAATATTTTTGGGCAAACTTTGTACTCCCCACCCCCTCTCATTTCTCAGTAGCCCTGGTTTGGCTACAGAGCAGTCTTAACTGAGCACCAGATTTTGCTATTCACGTATATTATGATTCCTTTGCTACATGTTTTGTAGTTGTTCATTTTTTAAAAATACCTAGAATTCTATTTTACTCACCGTTTGGGCTGCTGTGCGCAGGGTCACTCAGTGGACACAGCATTGTGTGGTGGCCTCATTTACGGCAAAGTAATAAAAGAACTTTATTACTTTGAGCCAGTGTGGTGTAGTGGTTAAGAGCGGTAGTCTCGTAATCTGGTGAACCAGGTTCGCGTCTCCGCTCCTCCACATGCAGCTGCTGGGTGACCTTGGGCCAGTCACACTTCTTTGAAGTCTCTCAGCCCCACTCAACTCACAGAGCGTTTGTTGTGGGGGAGGAAGGGAAAGGAGATTGTTAGTCGCTTTGAGACTCCTGAAGGGGAGTGAAAGGCGGGATATCAAATCCAAACTAAGGGATGCGGGTGGCGCTGTGGGTAAAACCTCAACGCCTAGGACTTGCCGATCGTCAGGTCGGCAGTTTGAATCCCCGTGGCGGGGTGCACTCCCGCTGCTCGGTCCCAGCGCCTGCCAACCTAGCAGTTCGAAAGCACCCCCGGGTGCAAGTAGATAAATAGGGACTGCTTACCAGCGGGAAGGTAAACGGTGTTCCGTGTGCTGCGCTGGCTCGCCAGATGCAGCTTGTCACGCTGGCCACGTGACCCGGAAGTGTCTGCGGACAGCGCTGGCTCCCAGCCTATAGAGTGAGATGAGCGCACAACCCTAGAGTCTGTCAAGACTGGCCCGTACGGGCAGGGGTACCTTTAATAAAAGAACAGCATCTGATATACTCCAGTACTAAATTTCCACTGGGTTTTGGTGTTGGAAAATGTAGAAAGGTGGTTGATCGGTGTTCCCCATTTGCAATGGGAGATGACTTGCTGCAGCTGGTTTGGAATGACTTTAATACTGGACTTCTTACATTGTGCTTTGTAGGATTTTATCATTATAACAATAAGTTTAAGTGTGTGAACAGTCCTGAGGGTTATTTATTGTGAAGGGTGGTACAGAAATGTATTGATTGAATAAATAAATAAATAAATTTATAATAAATACCATATTTACTTGAATCTAATGCTCACCTTTTTTGGCCAAATTACATTGCGAAAATTAAGGTGTGCATTAGATTCGATGGCACATTTACATTCGCCAGCAAATACTTTTTTGGTTTCAAGGTTCTGAAAACTGAGGTGCGCGTTAGATTCAAGTAAATACAGTAAATGGGAAGAGATGGAAAAGAGGAGAAGAGGGAAACTGCTTTAGGGAAACCTAACCATTGTCATTATTAAATCAGTAAAGCTTAGTTTCTCCAAAAAGTGTGCTAAAGGTATAAAAGGCTGGAATGAACAATGTATGTTGCTGGTCTGTAGACATGATGGGAAGACATGATGAGAAGACATGCTGGTCTGTCTTCCTTCCCCATCCACCTACTACACCTGCCTCGCCTGTGACATCATTAGACACCCACCCAAGGGTGTCATGTTCAAATAAAGACCTATGTGCATAAAGTCCAATATACATGGGCTCGGATCATATGGTTGATTCCTGAATTTTATTTGGGCTAGACAGCACAGTCTGAGCCTGTGCACATTGGATCTTGTGTGCAAACCCCCTTTGAACATGCCACCCTCATGTGGACATTCAGGGATGTCAGAAGTGCAGGTACACCTAATGCATGGCCAAGGAAGGAACCCTCTTGCTCCCCACCATGCCAGACCAGAGACGGCTGTTGTCTGATCCAGGCCGATGTGTTTCTCTACCTAAGCAAGCCAATTCTCTGTCCCGGCTTTGGCCTTCCACTCTTAGGGTGCTTAAATGGAAAGGGTCAGGCTCAGACTGAAGATGGAAAACCAGACAAAGCCCTGCTCAGGCAGATGGAAGATGTCTACGCCACAGTTCCTGTCCGACTTCCTGAAACCAACAGGCAGGTACAGAAGCTCTACCAGGAATGGCTGGATGGGATGGACTCCATGAAGGTCCAGGAATCATTACATACAAAATACAGCACGGAAAAGCCAGCTGCCAACAATTTGGATATCAAATGGTGACCAATCAAAGGGCAAGACTTGCAGTAGGTTTGTTGTACATAGAGCGCCGGCAACTATTCTATGCAACTGGAGACGGAGGTACTGCTTAAATATGTGAACATTACAAAGAACTGGAACTGCCTTTGTTCTCCACTGGAATTGTGTAGAGTTCAATTGTTGCTTGAGTCTGTGTATATTTGGAATGTCTTTATTTAATCGGAGCCTGATACTGTGTGTGTGTGCGTCTGAGGACCTTTTAAGAGGCACAGCGAGTCTCTAAACTCCCAACAGAGGTACATTGGTATAGAATAAAGTTACCAGAATCAGGGCATGTGCTTTGATTCTGACTCTTAGTACGCAAATCTTTATGCCAAGAATCCAGTGCCATGGATTTTACTGCTCTCAGAAAGGTGTTGTGTTAGGTTTACAGTTTATCTAAGGCTTTTTATCATTACCAATCATCATATGCTACCAAAATATGACAAAACAAACTAACCAGTGATGCCATTTCCACTGTTCACATTTACTACTTTGATGCCAGTCAGATTGGGTGGCACAAAGAAAGAAACTTTGCCCCCTACCAGTAATTAATTTCCTTTTTATCAGCTTTAACATCATCTTGTGTGATTCCTTTGAAAAAGTAGAAACTGCTTCCTGTTCTCTCGTTTAATTGCCTTGCTTCTGTGGATATTTCTGGTCTGCTTTGGAGATAAAATAGGTATCCTAGTCATCTAGAAAGAGCAAGGCACATGGGTAGCTGAAGATGGTAGCAGTCATGGGGAAATTATCAATCCAGGTGGTCGAAAGGTAAGGCAGCAGGTTCATATAGGATCACTGGGCCAAAGTTGCAGAGGTGGGCAAGTCTAATCCAGTGGAACTAGAGATTAAGTTATTCAGACACAAAGGCAGCCAAGTCCAGTCCAGGAAGTTAATACACTTTTTGGCACTCAAGCCTGCCTAATAGCAAAGTCCTATGTGACACCTAAGGCAAGGATGTTTCAGCAATTTCTTCCACTGGTATTAAACCCACTCATTGGCAGATTCTGCTTAGGTCAGACCCTGATATCTGTCAAGACTAATCGGATTACACCCATGAGATTTCTTGATGAGTGACTAAGGCTGCCCTTATTTGGGATTCTTATTGAACTCAGTGTGACTTACTTCTTAGCAGACATACATAGAAGTGTAGCTGTAAGTAACTACAGAACTACCAAGCACTGCCAATGTACAGCCTTTGTCTGAATAAATGGGGGAGACCAATGCATGATCACTGAAATATATGGAGGCTGTACACCAGCAGTACTTGACGGATCGTGCCACAAAACTGTAATTCTAAACAGTATCCTTATCCTGCTCTGGAATACAATTTCCTCTCTTCCCGCAATATTATCCCCACTTGGTTGCACTGTTCAAAAACAAAACAAAAGATGAGGTCTTTGTCTGTACTTCCATTATTTCTTTTATTTTATCAAATGTTTCAACAATGATCGTCCCCCACCCGTCTCTTAAAAGTTTTTGCTATAGCTTTGGCTTCTTCCATAGCTCCTCCTTTGTTTAGTTTTCCAATCTTAACACACAAAAATACGGGTATGCTTTGTTGTAATTTTTACTGAGAAATGCAAATCTTTAATGACCATCATGCAAAAAACCCACACAAGCAAGATGAGACCTTAAGGCTCTGATCTGTGCATGGTAAAAATATAAACCTCTGATTAGAGGACATTGGTGCTTCACTCCTCTCAAAGTGTCTGTCTGAATTCTCAGCCTGCCTCCCAGGAAAGGCAATAAAATCCTTGAGCCTGGGAGACGCTGACTAGTAGAGAGGTGTGAGATATGTTATCACGATAAATGGACTCAATATCTGACATGGGGCAGTCCTGTGATTTGGACATTTGGGTCTCATCTCCTTTTGCAGCATAGAAGAGGTGTAATCTGTGTTCCGTGTGCATGGATTTGAATACATACATAAAATAAGATTGTATATATCTCAATCATCTTATACTTGCGTCTGTATAAAAAGAATAAAATGAAGCTTAAAACTGGTGCAGAAGTAAAACACTTCTTGAAACCTACCTCTGTGCTAGGAAAGGCGCTCAGAATGGCTGAGGGATCCTGGGCATGCTACTGCATTAAAATAGAAAAGGTGCGTCCACATGGCACATTCTCAGGGCATCAGATGCCTTATTGCAGTTTGTTCCCTTCAGTATCTCTACACACACACACACACACACACACACACACAATATTCCTGCCTATTGTGATATCAGGGTGGGCATGCAGGATGCACAACTAGCCCTTCAGTTTCATCATGTGGGTATCCTGGAGGGGGATAGATGGTGGCCTTTCCTAGGGATATTTTCTACATACCCAGTTGTGGTCTGCCATGCTGAACAGAAACAAGAGAAGCTTCCATGTGGATCTACGCACAATGTCCAAATTCCTGTAGTGAGGCATAAGAACAGCCTATAGTGTCTTCAAGTTACGCTGACAATGTAATTTATTTTAATTTTGCTTCATTCATTAGGATGCCTTCAAAATGTGTTGAGAGCAATTCTAGCTTTACAAGTCCACTGTATAGCTTTTATTTGTAGATACACATGGAGGATATCTTATGTTAAAATCCTTTATCTTTTAAAAAAAATCTTTTCCCTGCAGTTTTGTATACAGTCATACCTTGTGTTGCCTTCCGCTCTCCTTACGGACTTTCAGCTTACGAACACGGCAAAACCGGAAGTGTTCGCCACCTGCGCACGCACAGAAGCACCCGATCGCACATGCGCAGAAGAGGCACTCTAGTTGTGGACTTTTTGGGTGCAAAACGGCACCACGAAACAGATTAAGTCTGCAACTAGAGGTACCACTGTATAGGTTTTAAGTTGTTTGTGAGCAATGTGTATATGTGACAGACCTTGAGAAATATCGTGCTACTTGGTATAGGTTTTGAATTTACTTTTACAAGCCCTGTGTTGCCTCCCCTTTAGAAAAGAAGCTAATTTTCTGTGCCAAAATGGAAGCTTCTAAGTGTGTATGTAGTGGTTAGAGAAAAGTTCCACCTATGTTCCCAAGCAACCTGTTGCAACTGGTTAAAACTCTGCACTCTGGCAGTGGTACCCATGCTGATCAATAGTCACAGGAACAAGGTGGTAAAAGATTCTAATTTACAAAAATTACAGTGGAACACAATTGGATAAGTATTTTTTTTAAAAAACAAAAACACTTTGTCACTTCTCGCCATTTAAACCATTTGGTGTGGCCTTTGTGCTGATAACACAGAACATGGCCCTGTCTATAGAGACCAAACAATGAGAAGGATTCTTCAGGAACTTCAGGCTCGAAGCTCTAATTTGACAGCCCCTTGGCAGATAGTAGAAGCTTTAGTTGGCCTTCTCTCCACACACTGTGGGGATGACCTAAATGTAGAAGGACCATGCCACTAGTTTCACTTATCTACAGTCCCATGGAGCTGACAAAGAGCTTTTCCATTACACACACACACACCTCTCATTTTGGGGTATATTAATAATGAAGCTGCAGAACTTAACAAATTTGCAATGGCAGACTCCAAATTCTGCACAGACCCATGTGTCTTGTGGCATCAGCACTCATGAAAAAGGTGGGAAGTCTGTCAAGGACTGAAGCCCTGAATAACCTTAGGCTCCATCTAGGTTAGAGACATGGGAAGCACACACTCATCTGAAGGTGGACCCATGTGGGACCCAAGCCACTTACCGTACTTGAAAGTAGCTCCCTTTGTGGTCATTATAGTACTACCAGGTACTTGATTACGTGATTGCAATGTACTGCAGAAGGCTCCCGCTTGCCAGCTACGGACACAGTTCATTGTGACAGGGTGTTTATGGAAGCGCTGAATGCTCAACAGTCACAAGTAGGTATAATCTGCTGCTTTTCTGGAAAGTAGTTGTCCCGTGATTGTAGTAACTTAATGTGCTTCCCATCTTGTAGCTACTGCTTGCTGTTTCGCATCCTGTTACAGCCACTGTGGAAATCCAGCCATAGTGATTTGCTTCTCATTTGAATGTTGTTTTGGTACAGTTCCTTTCTGGACACACAGAATGTGAAGAGTATGTGGATGGGCACGTGTACATGAGCTTTTTTAAAAAAGAGGTTTTCTTAGATATCAAAGAGATTAAAACACAGTCTAGATGTTTTGGTGTCTATGATGCCCTAAAATATGCTGTCATTGTAAATACCAATCCTAGGCATGCTCACTTGACAAACTCATTCCAGATTTAGGGGGACTTTGCTCAGTCTGTCCAGGGTCCCACTCCACTTTGACCCCCTGATAACCGCAGGACTGCAAAATTGCCTTTGTGCATTAGGCAAGTGGGCTACTCAACTCCCCAGCCCATTGTAACACCACTGCTGTGTAAGCCCAGGAGGGTAGAGAAACTGCCAGCTTCTCCTTCATGCATGGGGCTACATTACTGCTGCCCCATTATCACTGGGTAAGCCACAAGCATAGCACCAGAGCAGTGCCACAGCTGTAAGTCAGTGGTAGAGCAGTGGGTACAGCAACAGCTCAGTGGTCAACTTTGCATGCAGAGACCCCTGTCTGAAATCCTGGAGAGCTGTTACCAGTCATTGTAGACAGACTTCAGCTAGATGTCCCAATGATCCGACTCCGTATAAGGCAGCTTTCTGTGTACGAAGAGGGAGGTCAAATAACAATGGGTACTGGAGTGAGCAGGTAAGGTGTCTGCCCAGTATGGTGGGTGTTGACTGCAGGCCTGTTACTCACAAGGTAAATCTCCCTGAACTTAATGGGATTTACTTCCTGGGAAATATGCATCCATGAAAATCAACAGGATTTATAGGAATTTATTACGAGGTTAGGAATTAGGCCTGGTATAAAGTGAATAATATGCTCTGAATGATGGTACATGCATCCTATTCTAGAAGTTTAGTATGGAGAATATCTAGACTATGTATTTATCCACTTGGGGTCTTTAAAAGGGGAACAATAAATGTTACAGAAATTTTCTGATAGGACCTCAGAGCCAAAGGATATTGTAAAATTTTAACATAAGATGTTTGCATTGATCTCTGCCTTTTCAACATGATTGTACCTGGACAATATTCAATAATCTAATAGAGTATGAATTTGAATGGCTGAAATAAAATGAAATGCAACAGTATTTTATATTAAGTATGCTTATTGCATTTGTTTGTTTATTTCCATTTGTGAGTTGCTTCCTGTGAAACATATTGAAACAATTTAACAGTAAAACTTCAACAATAAAAACTTATGTAGAATCATATTTAAAATCAAAGCTATTTCATATATAAAAACAATTTCAAATCCTGTGCAAATACAAACTGTGATAAAAAACACCCTCCACCTGAAAGGCTTGTTGAAGGAGGAAGGTGTTCAATAAGATGCTAAAAGGCCAAAGAGGCAGCCTGTGTCTGATGGGTAACAGAAGTTAGTCCCAAAGAATAAATGCTGGCACACTAAACGCTAGATTCCTACATGGAATGAAATAATGCCCCTCCTGATGAGGTGCTTTCTGCAGGCTCTCTCCTGCAGAACACAGTAGTAGGTGAGGCAATATTTATTGTTGAATACCAGAGACAGACGTACTTCTATAACAAGTAGTCTGATCCTAACAGTGATTATTCAAAAGTAAATTCTAGTGTTTTCAGTCAGGCTTCTCTCAGCATCCAAACTGATTGACAGTTTGCTCTCTTTCATGGTGCCCCAAAATTTATTGCCTGTGCAAGGCTACAAATGGTGGGACCAACCCATCGCTTGTTACATCTAGGCTGCCTCATTCCTCAGCTCCTCCTCGCTTAAGAGCTTCTTTCACTTACAGAGGCACTAAGGCTCCAACACTGGACCTGGGAGTACTAAGTACCATTAAATTCAGCAAATGTGTCTAGGATTCCATTGTAAGCCACAGGGGTAGCAGAGTGCCCACCAGAAAATGTTGGACTCAAACTCCCATCAGCCCCAGCCACTATAGCCAATGATCAAGGATGATGGGAATTGTAGTCCAACATTTTCTGGAGGGCACCACAGCTAACTCATTTGAAAGGGCTAAATTGTACTAAAAGACACCAGTCAGGCCAATTGGGCTGGTGCTAATGTTGCCACCTCCTTTGGGGACAATTCTTATAACTTTTGAATACACGTGAGACACTCAGAGGATGCAGCGCTCTTCCTCCATCTCACTCCCCTGCCTTATGTGGATCAACATTATAAGAGCCCTGCTGACACTGCAGATTCTCATAGCGCCCAAGAGCATGTCAAGATATAGGTTTGACCCAGCACAATGCATGCGACCTTTGTTTAAAAAGCTAAAAACTAAAATCCCCACAAATCGACTGTGTGGTGGAGCAGGATTTCAGGTTTTAAACTCCCAGATCAAGTACCGGTACCTGCTGCCTCAGAAGGAGCGCAACCCAGTGGCGTAGCGTGGGGGGTGCAGGGGGGGCCGGCCGCACCGGGCGCAACATCTGGGGTTAGGGCAAATCCACGGGTTAGGGGGCGCAAATCCATGGGTTAGGGGGCGCAAATTACTTGCCTTGCCCCGGGTGCTGACAACCCACGCTACGCCACTGGCGCAACCCCACCCAGAGGCACACAAATCCACTCCCTGCCCACATCTGTGGTTAGCTGTGGTTCCTGCATTGCAGAGGGTTGGACTAGATGACGCTTAAGGGTCCTTCCAACTGTACAGTCTTCTCCATTTGAGGATTATTAGGCCGATAATTCGGATTATTAAACAGAGAAAGAGACTCCTGCATAGCTTTTGCTCGTCCCATTTCACCACGTGGCCTTTGAGGTGAGGAAATAAATATGAAACTAAAAGGATCTGGAATCAGCAAGATGGATGTTTCTCCTTATGTACTACAGAGAAGCGTCCTGTCAAAGGAAACTACGCCTCTTTGGATTGATTGGGCAGGAAGCAAAAAAAGAGGAATGGTTTCGCAAAGGCATTAATTTTGTTTTGCCTTAGGAGTCCATCTTTCTGCTTCTACCCATCCATGCACTCCTGACGAAATACGGGGCGGGCAGTATGCTCCCTGGAGACACTCATTTTCTGTCTGACAGCGCAGATTTTTGTATATTTTATTTTTACTCAAGGTAAGGGAAAGCGCATTTAATCAAAACCGGCGACTAGTTCTTTTAAATCCTACCAGAATAACGTGGTTTCCCCCACCCCCATTCCTCAAAACAAACTGCACCTTTCAACCACTCCAAATATTATTTTTTCAATAGAGAAGCAAAGAGGGGGGGAAATAAGGGGAGGGAGGGGGAAATTTTAAAAATATATAAAAAAGCTAAACGTCTCTAAAATGTCACCTGAGACACACACACAGGTTCTACCGAGATTTGAACTCGGATCGCTGGATTCAAAGTCCAGAGTGCTAACCATTACACCATAGAACCACACGGCAGCCCTGCTGGCTGAAAAGTTCTCTACTAGCACGTTCCCAAGGTTCTCTTAGGTTCACATTAATGCGTATAGATTTCCGCTTCGTAATTATTATATATATATTATTGTATGGTGGGGACGACTGTGAACCTGTCATCCGATAGCTCTTAAATGTCCTTTTGTAAGACCGACAAGCTTCCGATTAGCCAACACCACCTTTTCATACGTCGCACGACAAAAATCTATCTATCTATCTATCTATCTATCTATCTATCTATCTAAAATGGATAATCATACATTCTGAAATTATAGACGTTTTAAGCCCCTCACCCCCAGCAAAACGTTACCATTATGTAAAAGCATAAGCCTCAACATAAAGAGAAAATAATGGCGCATTCCCCTTTCTTCCTCGTTCCCCCTCCCCCCCCAAAATGTTTTCCATATTTTTTATTTATTTAAGAAACCTTTGAGTCTCTGCCACCCACCGCAGCAAAAAAAAAAAAAAATCTAGGAGGTCCACAGGTTCCACCGAGATTTGAACTCGGATCGCTGGATTCAGAGTCCAGAGTGCTAACCATTACACCATGGAACCAGTCGTCCCGAATTGGCGCTCGTTCAATACTTATTCACACTAGCCTACCAAGACCCTCTCTTAACCGAATAAGTCTTACTTTCTGCAAGGAGGGGGGGGGGCAACAAAGCTCCAGTACCAGAATAACTTGGATCATTTTAAACCCGCGGCGGCGGCGAATAGTCTTGATTTATGCCCCCCCCCCCGAAAAAAAAACATGTTAGCAGATTAGCGTCCATTTATCTCTTATCCACTTAATTCACCGTCTCCTCGGAAGTGAGCCTCCTCACGGTGTTTCCACGGGGCTTCCTGCCCAGATAAGGGGATACACAGAATCGATATATATATTGGGCAGGAAAAGGCGCCGTTATTTGGATAAGGGTAGGCGGGGTGTAAAACAAGAGGAGCGCCTCGTTTCGCTGGGAGAGAGGAAAAACTTATTTGAAAATTGTGTTTTGCCCGAAAGGGGCGACCTTTCAGGCAACCTTCTAAGCCCGGAGCTCCGTCAGGGAGCAGGAACCGGACGCCGCCGTCTTTGAAACAGGCGTATTAGAGCGGCGGCCATTTTGAGGCGAAGGAGACCTCGCGCTGAGGGAGGAGCCGGCGGAATCTTCCCGCCCAAACGGGACTGGCAGGCTTCAATTCCTAAAAGGGCCACAGATTATAAAGGAAAAGACTACTGTATATAGAAAAGAGGGGGAACACCTCCAGAGAGAGAGAGAGAGAGAGGCTTTCTCTCCCTCCCCTTTGCTGCAGAAGAAAAAAGAGCAGCCTCCTAGCATGAGAAAGACTCTCGATATTACATATTTATTACTGCAAAAGCTCTTCGTGCACTGAGGCCTTCTTAATTATATGCTAGCCTCCATTAATGCCCATCAGGAGGGAAGGTGGTAACCCATTGTGACTCTGAGAAGCACTGGACTCCAGCCTGTTTTCTGGGCTTGCTGGTCAGAAGGTTGGAAAGCACACAAATACAAGCAGTTGGAAAGCACACAAATACAAAGCAGTTGGAAAGCACACAAATACAAGTAGATACACAAATACAAGTAGATACACAAATACAAAGCAGTTGGAAAGCACACAAATACAAGTAGATACTGTATTTTTTTCATGTATAAGACGCCCCCTATTTTTTTAAACCGAAAATAAAGAAAATGCACTATCTGTGTGTAAGATGACCCCTTATTTTAAACTTCAAAAATTTAGGGAATTATACACGGAAAAATACAGTAAATAGGTACTGCTGTGGTGGGAAGGTAAATGGCATTTCTGTTCGCTCTGGCTTCTGTCACGTTGCTCCAGAAGCAGTTTAGTCATGCTGGCCACTTGTCCTGGAAAGCTGTCTGGACAAACGCTGACTCCCTCGGCCTGCAAAGCGAGATGAGTGACGCAATCCCATAGTCGCCTTTGACTGGACTTAACCACTTAACCGTCCAGGGGTCCCCTTTTTTTTTTAACCTTACTTACAAGGAAGACTGCTCCATGTCACAAAAGGGAGTTTCAAAGAATTTCAGAAGACAAAACCCACCCTCCTTTGCAACTGGTGTCCCCAAAACAGGAAAACTGAACAGGGCAGGGGAGGGCAGGCTTCAGGGTTGCAGGACCTGAGTTGCGTTTTCCTGGAACCCCCAAGAGCCACCATCTGGATCTAGGTGCAAACACTTAAAACTAAAGAACAGGGTGTCCTCTGAGCAGGTGCTAAGGACAGGAATTTGCTTTGAGTGTCCCTGACGTCACAGTCCTTCCACGCAGCAACCCTTCCTGTGATTTATTCCAACCATGTAATTTATAAGGGGAGGGGAATTGTGTTCCTCCCCGCCCCCTAAATTGGCATGCTCCTGTTTCTGCATACACAGACACAAAATGAAGCTCTCTTGGGAAGGTTTATATGGGTGGGTGACCAAGGATATTACCATTACGGTGAAGAGAAAGGCAAATAGCACCAGTTGCCCCTTACCTTCATCTTTGCTTCATGTGGGCCTCATGATTACATGGCATCAGAATCCATAGCAAAGGTACACAGAAGGTGGCCACTCTGTGCTGTGCAGGCCAAGTTCCTCCCCACAACTCTCGTATGAAGCCAAAAAGGCAACGGACGGGATTCAAACCCACACATGCAGAGCACAACGGATTTCAGTTCCATCACATTCTTCTCTTGGCCACACCAAGAACAGCTTTTCATGTTTCCCAAACAGT